AGCATGCCTGGATTCCATGCAAGGGTCCTGGAAGACTCTTTTGTATAGTCTGCACAATGACCTATGATAGCTGTACTTTTGGTTTCAAATAAGGGCCTTTATTTATTATACAGCATGAAACATAAAAGAATTAATACCAAGGAGTATATATAGAGAAGCAGCAGACCATAATCAAACTGGGCACTCACAAAACCCTGCAGAGATGGCTGGGGTTGGAGAGTCATTAAATTGGGACTTACAGCACCCAGCAGAAACAGGCTAGGAAAATGTTGTTGAAGTTAGCTGGGAGTTTCTAATTCATAGTTTTCTCTCCATGGATGCCTTTCTGGGTTCTTATTCCCATTGTAGGCACTGTAATTTCAAGAGTAAACAACAGTAAGCTCTGTTGGACATGGTTTACTAACACAAGTGTTAGTATTCGGCATCTGTGCTGGCCTGCCTGTAAAGGATACATCCTCAGCTGCAGCCACTAAGAATAGCTGTGCACATATGCTACACTCCCTTTTAAAAGGTGGGCCTTGCCCCTTCCATCTCTTTCTCTCTCTCTGCCTCTCTTTTCTCTTCCACCATTCCTGTTCCCAGAGGCTGGCCTCTCCTCTTCCTCCCCCCTTTCCCCATTCCCCTCCCCAAATAAAACACCTCTCCCTATGAGCTTTGTTGCATGACATCTTTTTTCTCTCAAGGCACTTTATTTTTAGCAGTTTGCTCTTTTCCATTCTCTCTGTCACAGACTCGGGGATTGGGGGGGGGGCAGTTTGACCAAGGTCAGGGAGCTTTGCAGAACACTTGAGATAAACATGCTTCTCAGATCTATGGGGGCATCAAGGAGATAAAAGAGGCTTCCTGTTCTCTAGTTCCATTTTAACAAGCTTAAAGCACAGGGTAACTTATTGTACTGTGAAGGCTACTGATGAAGCTATGAAGGTTAGGTTAAGTTGCAATAGAGACCCCAGGACGCTGGACACGCAAAGACTTGGATGCCCACCGAAGAAAGCTGCAGGCACCGAGTGGAGCTGACCCAAGAGAGAAAATATGTGTTAGGTGGCTAGAAGTTCAGGGCTACCCAAGGATGCTGGCTGGAGTCAGGATGATGCCAATGAGAGTTGGTTCCAAATGCCGAACATGGAGCTACAGGATTTGGTGTTTGCCCTGTTGGGTTCGAATCTTAGTTTGATCTGATTTTTCCTTGCTAAGCCCTCATTCCTCCCTTTTGGGATGGGAGTGCTTACTTTGTGCCATCGACTATTGAATGTCTGTAACTTGTCTTCCCCTCCCCCACAAAACCAGGGATTGAATTTAGGACCCCATACATGCTGGTCATGTGCTCTGCCACCTGCAGTGGTTGTAACTTAAAAAAAAAAAAATGTTTTACAGGGCCTCACAGAGAGCCTTAGTGTCAGAAGGAACTTTGGGTTTTAGACAAAGGATAGGATTGTTAAGATTTTGGGGATTAGAACAAATGGACTAAGGGAAGGGTACAGGTGATCAGAAGGGATGCTCAAAGGGGTAGCCTATGAAAGTGGAAGTCCAACTGAGTGTTGTTGAGATACAAATAACAGTACGGAGTCTTTTTGAGAAGTTTTATTTGTATGTATGTGGATGCCTAAATGTATATTTGTGCACCATGTGAATGGCAGATGAGAATGTCCTCTGAACCTGGAGCTAGATGTGATTGTGAGCTGCCTGATGTGGGTGCTGGGAAATGAACCCAGCCCTCTACAAGAGCAGCAAGCACTTATCTCTCCAGGCCATGTTGTAGTGAGATCTCCACCCCGCCTGCCCGCCCGCACCCATTGCACTGACTACGCCCCTGGTCACAGGTGCAGATGTGACAGGGAAGGCCAGGCCTGGGGTCCTGGACTCCAGCTCGCTCTCTTGCTTCCTGGTTGGGTTGGGGAGAGCATCTGGGTGGCAGGGTGACATCGGTGGAGCGGGGACCCTCGGCTGTCATCTGTTTCATTTGTAATTGAATTCTCCCTGAATAAGCCTCACTTAACCTATACTGAGTTCAGTGAATCTTAATCCCCACACTTTACCCTGTCTTTCCGTTTTTGAAGCCAGGGTCTCACTGTGTTGCTCCAGCTAATCTGGTACTGCTACCTAGGGGAGCCTGACCCAGAGCTCTTAGATACCCACATGCTTCTGCTTCCCAAGTGCGAGGATTAAAGGTATGCACCATCATTCCCTACAAACACATATGAGTTAGACAATGTGCTCAAAACCAGAGCACAGAGCATAGTAAGGGACAGAAATTCTGTATGCCTGGAAGTGGAGTGTATTGTTGAGGTACACATGGGTTGGGTGTTAGTTCATCTTGCTTCTGACAGACGTATGTTGAGGAGCCTTTGTATGTTTGCAGCAGCCTGATAGCCTCTACAAAGGATGCATGATAAGCATAAAGTGAGTAAAGAAAGGATCACAGAAAAGTCCTTAGTGGGTGGTGTGATCCTAACTACTGAGAACATGCGGCATATGGGTTGAAAGTTCAAGGGCTGCCTGAGCTACAGAATGAGGTCAAGGCCGGACTGGTCAACTTGGTGAAACCCTGTTGTTAATGGCAGTAGGGTATGTGGCAGAGACACAGCTCCACAGGGGTGAGCACTCAGGGTTCTGTTCAGACTTCTCTGATGAAGCCATGATGAAGCCAGGATTCAAATCATAGTTCAGTTTGTTACAAAGGATTTTATCACACATGTAAACATGCGGTTGGCATAAAGAGAGATACCATCTGCATTGCACAGTTTTACGTCAACTTGAAACAAGCTTGTCATTTGAGTGGAAGGAACAATTGAGAAAAAGCCTGGATAAGATTGGCCTATAGGCAAGCCCGTAGGGCATTTTCCTAATTAGCAATTGATACGGTGTAGTGAGACAGCCACCCCACCTGCACCTGTTGTCCAAACGGGCGCGGTCACAGGTGCAGACGTGACAGGGGAAGGCTAGGTCTGGAGTCCCCGACCCCAGCTCCATCTCTCTTGATTCTGGTCCGGTCATGGATTGCAGCCTTGGGAGTGGGAACTTGCTAGTCATCAGTTTCTTATGTAAGCGATTTCTCCCCCCATATTTAATCCTGTGTATCTTAATCTGTGCATCTATAATATGGGAGGGTCCTGGGTGCAGTAAGAAAGCAGGCTGAGAAAGCCAGGAAGAGTGACCCAGTAAACAGACCCCCCCCTCCCATGGCCTCTGCACCAGTTCCTGCCTCCAGGTTCCTGTCATGGCTTCCCTCAGTGGTCTGTGATTCAGGGTATGTAATCTAAATAATGCTTTCCACTCCAGGTTGCTGTTGGTCATGGTGCTTCATCACAGCTAACTAAGACAACTAAGGTCACAAATGTAGGTGTGGGCTCAAGAACATTGTGTGCCTGCTTTTGGTGGCTCCTGAAGCTAAATTTCTAATGGTGACTGAAGAGCTTGCCCCCTCCTTTTTTGGTAAAGGAGACTATGGAGGGGGTTCCTGAGTGCACTGGGCAGGGTTACAGTCTGATAAGATAAAACTCAGGTTATAAAAGTTGCAAATAGGTGTGGCAATTTACCTTTTATTGTTCCTAAGGGTTCTTGGAAAATTCTAGCTCTTAGGGTTGTGGTGGTACACACCTTTAATCGCAGCACTGGGTAGGTAAAGGCAAGATGACCTCTGTGAATTCAAGGCCAGCCTAGTGTACAGTAGTTCCAGGACAGCCAGGGCTACATAGAGACCTTATCTAAAAAAAAAAAAAAAAAAAAAAAAAAAAATCCTAACAAGCTGGGCAGTAGTAGCACGTGATTTTAATCCCAGCATTAAGGAAGCAGAGGCAGGCAGATATCGGTGAGTTCAAGGCCAGCCTAGTCTACAGACTGAGTGCCAGGACAGGCTGCAAAGGTACACAGAGAAATCCTGTCTAGAAAAACCAAAAAACCGGCAAACAAACAACAACAACAAAACAAAACAAAACACCCCTAACAAAACAATAAAAAGAACTTCCAGCTCTATTGGATGACATACTCATGTAATACAAGTTTAGGAGAATACTCCAAGTTCCAGGCCAGCCTGGGCTACACAGTGAGTTCAGGCTAATGCGATCAAGAACTTCCAAGTGTTCAGCCAGCACTAGCTTCCTGCCTGTAAATGGTGGTGGTAAGAATTCCCCATCCCTTACACTGCAGCAAACTAAAGGCAGAGAAGGAAGCCCAAAGTTTTGATTTTTAAAATTACAAGTCGCCAGGAACTGCAGGGTCGGTTTCTAGAGGGACACACTGGCCTGTGCGCGGGCACTTAGGCTCCATCTAGACACCATGGCATCCAATACCAACAGCGAAACAATGTCCAGGCAGGAGCTACTGGCTGAGTTTGTGATTCTGGGTTTGTGAAGGTCTTGCGCAGACTTCAGAAGGCCTGGGTGTTTCAAGTGTATGTCACCACGGAGTGCCTCTTTAAGGCTGTGAGTTGGTGGCTCAGCCAGTGAAGTACTGACATAGGTAGGTGTTCAAGCCCCACTACCCACGTTGTCAGATAACGGACTCCAGCAAGTTGTCCTCTGACCTACACAAGCCTGTACTCATGCACACAAAGCACAACTTAAGTAATAAAATGCAATTAAAAAAAAAAAGTTGTGTTGTTAGAACTTGACAGAGGACTAGCCCACAACACAGTATTTTCTGGGGAAAACACGTTTTCAACAGTTCTCTCCTTTTTTGTTTTGCACTGCATTTTGAATGCGTGTACATCCAGAAAAGTTCTTGGAGTTCACGTAACGGTGTAAACACTTTACCTCAGGGCGGGCAGTTGTTGGCTTTCTAGACAGCTGCTCTCCCGACCTTCCTGGACGGAAAGGCGGGAGTCAAGGCGGGGGAGGGAGGGGATTTGCACACTAGGTCGCGGGCCTTGTGGGGCTTGTAGTCCAGATTGCCGCAAGGCCTGAGGCCGCTGCCGCACCAGGACTACATTTCCCAGCAGCATGCGCTCGGCAACGCGCGCGGATCAGGTCGCGCCGGCGAGCCGATTTCCGGAGGCGTCGGGGGCGGGGCGGCCGCAGAGGCTGGAGCGAGGTGGCGGGATGCAGCGCCCCGGGCCCTTCAGCACCCTCTACGGGCGGGTCCTGGCCCCACTGCCCGGGCGGGCCGGGGGCGCGGCCTCGGGCGGGGGCGGGAATAACTGGGGCCTCTCGGGCTCCCACGTGCAGCTGCCGGGGCGTGCACACTCCGAGACCCGCGGCGACAAGGCAGGCTCGAGCGCGGGCGGCCCAGCCCCCTCCACGATGTCCAAGGCCGAGGAGGCTAAGAAGCTGGCGAGCCACAGGGCGGTGGAGAACCACGTGAAGGTGGGCAGCTAGTGGCGGCGTGATGGCTTCGTGCTGCGCGCCCAGGGCACCGCCAGGGGGGAGAGGGGGGTGAGCCCTGTGTCCGAATTCCCGCTGCTCTTTCCAACCCCTGGGGCGCCTTGTAGACGTCGAGTCGGTGGGTGTGGGTGTCACCTCTCCCCCCAATAGAGCCTTTCCCCCAGAGACCCCTGTCGGGCTGGAACCGAGTGCCTGGCATTGCCTTGTTTAGAAGCTGTCAGGCTGTTAGAGCCTGCCTCCTAGTCAGCCCGTTGAGAATGGTGAGCCCCGAGGCTCTTGAGTTCTTTCTTCACTTCTCGTTCCCCGGGTTTGCAAGGAGTTTTGGAATAATTTTTACTCCAAATAAATCCCTCCTGCTTGGGAGCTTGAGTGCCGTCTTTACAAAGAAGCCATCAAGTTCAGCCTTGCTGTTGACACGGCCGGCTGGGTGGACACCTGGAGATGCTGTTCTTCAGGTGGGGCCCAGATGTTTAACAGTTACTCAGTAAGGTTGCGTCCCCACTTGGTTTGTTAAGTGGCAGGTGTGCTGCTATGAGTGGACTCCTGAAGTGTAGTTGGGTTTGCTGCCGGGACTGGTTAATTATCTTAAGTTATCTTAACTGTATGACTGTATTATTTCTGCCGCCCTGTGGCCGGAGTTTCCTGGTCTCGTTTCCGACTTCTTAGATAGGGTTATCGGAATCCATTTCTCCATAAAAGGAAGTTGTTTTTTTATTTTTTCGTTTGGTAGTGCTGCGCTGCACAAAGTTACTCTGCAAATGATGGTCTTAGAGCTTTGTCTATCTTCCTGAAGAGTGAGGGCGGCCTGAGTGGGTGGGTCCGGGTCTGATAACCTCTGGCTGGCTCAGTCTGTTCTACACCACTCTTGTTTCAGGCAGGGCTCCAATGCTTCTCTGTTCTGGTGTAGCTTTCTGCTCCTTTTAGCATAGGGTTTTATAGGAGAATTAAGAGGGTGTAGGTATAAGCACGAATGTAAAATGTGTGATTTGGCTCTGTGTTTGGATTCGGGGCCACAGCTGTAAGACTGGGACGCTAAAATAAAATTTCAAAATACCTCCATGAAGTAACTTAATAGATTGGTAAATGAAATCTATACCTTAAGAGAGCCCATTATCTAGTTATCCTTTTAATGTTCAGGAGTACATGCCTCCTTGACCTTTGCTTTTATAGTAAGGTATTTGATTAAATTAAAACCTGCAAGCCTTCATTCATCTCATGCTAGAGTCCCCAAGCACTGAATTCTAGCTATACTCAAACATGTTAGCAGGAAATCCTTGGGAGATCTCTATTGGGTTTTGGGGCTATCTGTTAAAAGAGGGTGGTTTGTCCTGTAGGGTTTGATTCAAAGGGCTTTACTATTTCCAGTTTTTTCCTTGGCTTCCTAAGGACATTAGGAGAGTACACTTTCCTCTTCTTATTTGGAGACTCGGGCTGTCTAGCAGCTTGCCAGGAACTTGATATGTGGACCATGCTGGCCTTGAGTGCTGGAGATTAAAGGTGTGCACCACCGTACAGCTATATCTACCATTATGTATCTATATCTAGCATTATAGATTTGTGGCACCATGCTCAGCTTCCTTCAGTTGTTCATGACTCCCAGACACTTGTGACCTCTGTTCTAGTCCTCTGTGCATTTCTCTTGCCTAACTCCCTACGACCTCTGCGAGGAGAGTCCTCGTTATCTGCAGGTTCAGTGTAGGGCGCCGTGAGGCCATGGCAATGTTCATCGGGTTGTGTAGAGTGCGAGCTGACATATGGTGGTCGTGGTTATGGTGGCCCTTTCCTAGGCTCTCTGAGTTTGGGTTCTCAGCCCCAACTGACTGTCTCTACTTCAGGGTAGATGGACAACTCCGAATTCTCAGGTGGATCTTTGTCAGCCACCTGACTCTGCCTTGGATAACTGAATCTCTGCGCTGTCCTCGTGGCCGGTTGCTTCATCCTTTGCTGTCCGTGAGGCCTGGGCTTTGTTTTGAGATTGCTTAACCGGAGGAAAGTAGTGGGCAGACACTAGTGTTACTATTATTATTATTAGTAGTAGTATTTTGTTTGTTTGTTTGAGACAGTCTCACTAGATGGCCCTGGTTACTCTGGAATTCATTGTGTAGACCAGGCTGGCCTCAAACTCACAAGAGATTTGCCTGCCACTAACTGTCAAGTGCTGGGATTACTCAAGGGTCTACCATACCTAGTGATTTCTGTTCTCAGTCTTGTAGAAGCCTGTTTTACTATCATACTATTCCAGACTCATCAAATACCCCCAGAGCCTTAGCCTCCAGATCCAGTCTCATAGATATTTGAGATCACCCCATTGGACACTGTACTGTTGAGCATTGCCCATTAGAAGGGCTGTCAACTGTTGGGCCAGTTTGCAGGCAGCCTTTGGTCACTTCTAGTTGGTTTTGACTAGGGTACAGACTCTGGCTCCTGTCCTTTTATTTCAAGGTAGCAGGCCTTGCAATTCAGCATTTCTGATGTGCTAGGTTCATCTGAGTGCAGCTTGACTGCTGGGAGCAACACAAGATAATGAGGAGTCTGATAATCAGATTTTCAGCCTCGGGTCAGAAGTGAAGGTCAGATTAAGTTTACCTAAGCTTTAAGAAATGGAGACGTTAGGCAGGGTGGTGGTGGCACACCTTTAATCCCAGCACTCTAGAGGCAGAGGCAGACAAATCTCAGTGAGTTTGAGGCCAGCCTGGTCTACAGAGTGAGTTCCAGGACACCCAAGACTGTTATTCAGAGAAACTCTGCTGGGAAAAAAAAAAAAAAATTGGAAGTGTTCACCATGATTTGAATACTTTTCATCTTGACATCTTTAGCTGTTTTAAATGCTTTGTGTTGTTAGTTTCCTTTACTTGTATGAGTCCTTGCATTTTTGGGTTTGTGGGGGCAGCTGATGGCTTTATTAGCTGCTTTGCTCTTGTGAAGGCACCCTGGCAGGTGGAATCTGTAAGATTGGCTCTGGTGGGCTAAGCCTCTTGGTGTATTAGGCGAGTTTTGAACTGTTAATCGGGGCTTCTATCTGATTGAAAACATAGACATTGCTGGGTATGGTGGCGCTCGCTTTTAGCTGGGGCATTTGAGAGGCAGAGGCAGGCAGATCTCTGTGAGTTTGAGACCAGCCTGGTCTACATAGTTCCATGGCAGCCAGAGAGCTACTTAGTGGGACTCTGTCTCAGTAAACTAGCAAACAACCCACAGAAGTTTAGGCCCCCTCACTTCTAGAGCTCACCCTTCCTCCTGCAGTCACCTGTTGTAGGCTGTTTCCACCCAGGAAAGGAATCCTATTATGTGTCCTATATCCAGAGCCTCTTTCCTTCCACTCTGCTGGTGCAAGTAAGGATGATGGCCTGCTTCCTGTCAGCATTGAGGAGTCTCTCTGTACAAGAAATCAACAGAGAAACCTCAGGAAGATTCTTATGGACTCTCCCAGGGGTCCTGATGATCATGATAAAATAGGGAAGGTAGCAAGAAGTTTGTCCACATTGGCACTGTCGCAAGCATTTAGCGTGTGGAGACGACTCAGCTACAGAGCGAGCAGGCAAGGAAGGGCAGAGCCTGGATGACTGCCTCAATTTACTGGGGTTAAGTGCCTGTGTCTTCTTAAAGCATAAGTGAGGATTTCCTTGAGACAGTAGAATATCCTTCTCCCCCATCCCTTAATTACAAACCCCACAGCTTGTACAGTGTTACCATTTCAGGTGCCTTTAACTTTGATTTGTGAACTTCTTTATGCAGTCTGAAAAGAGACCTCCCCCAACAAACCCCCCAAAAGAAAAAAACCCACAGAAAATGATGGATAAAGTCTTATGTAGACTGTGGGTAGGAGAGGCCCAGCTGGAAAGATTTTTAGTGTGTGATTGCCATTAGGATTTGATTTGTTTTTTCTAAAGTTTTTGTACTTGTTGGTCATTTTCTGTCTTTTAGGTTTAGTCTAATTTTGAGAAGGACCAAATGAGGCATGGGGCTCTGGGGCTCTGGGGCTCTGGGCTACCCCTGCACAGTTACTGCGGCTTTTTAGTGTGGGGGATGAGATGTTTTAGCTGCAGCCCTTGGTTTCTTCCTCCTACAAGGAAATTTCACAATGGCCTTTCCCTTGCCAAGTGAATGCTAATAGTTGTTCCACTCTAAGAAATTTGAGACGCCGTGCCTTTTCAGCAGTCCAACTCCTTGAATTGTGGACAAGTTGTGTGTGCTTGATAGGGCTATGAGATGATTTTCTTTGTAAGGTAACATGATAAGGACATTAGCTGTTGTATGTCAGCATTATATTAAACTCATTAAAGTAATGCTACATGAATAAAATGAAATGAATTTTTAAAGACTGGAATTTATTGTACAATAAATGCAGGATAATAACCAGTCGCATCCCATGGAGCACAGTGAGTTGGATTTTATGGATAAGATTTGCTAACAGTTTTCTACAGGTTGAAATCAGCCTTTGGAGCTGTCAAGTTGCACACACTCTTGTAGGATGGGTAGTGTAGGCATGTGGCAGGGTTCTGCTGAAGGGACCTAGTAATGTTTGACTTACTTCAGGGTCATCAGTCCTTGTAGTGTTGCATGAACCTGTGGAGTGGGCTAATGGGTCTCTAGGTCATATAGGGGTCATTGTGAAACTAGGCTTTATGTTAAGACATGCAGGCTCTCCGGTATTGCTTCTTGTTTTTTATTGAAACTGAGTTTCTCTGTGTAACAGCCCCGCCTGTCCCAGAACTCACTCTGTAGACCAGGCTGGCCTCAAATTCACAGAGATCCACTTGCCTCTGCCTCCTGAGTGCTGGGATTAAAGAGCGCCGTCACCATCTTGGTGGTATTGCTTCTTGGTGGAAGGCAAGTGTAGATCTTCTAGGCCAGTGGTTCTCAACCTTCCTAATGTTGCGATTCTTTAATACAGTTCCTCATATGTGGTGTACAGCTGTACAATTATTTTCATTGCTACTTTATAACTTGTGATTTTGCTACTGTTTTGAGTTGCAATGTGAATATCTTACATGCAGGATATCTGATGTGACCCTGTGAAAGGGTCTTTTGACCCACAGGTTGAGAACCACTATTCTAGGCAGTGTTCAGTGTTAGCTGCAGCTCTGGTTGGCGGTTTTGCTGTAGCCTGAAGGGTGTTCCCAGAAAGTTGCTTAGGAACCAGTTCCATGTTGGTTTTGGTAGTTACTGCTGCCCCTCTTCTTTTTTGTGGTCTACCATCTGATCATAGGTATCTTCTCTTAGGATGGCAGGCTTAGTGTGGGCACGTGTTTCTTGTTCTTTGTATTTGGGAGGCAGAGCAGATTCTAAAGAGACTACTACTTGCTAAGGGCCCACAAGGTGACTAAAAGCAGGATAAAAAAGCCTGTCATCTTTTGTCTGTACCCTTTACTTTGAGTTAAACACTCGCTTAATTATGCACATGGGTACGTTAATCATTCATGGAGTGTGTTGGTCTAAAACTCAGTGCTGTCTGTCTTCAGGGTGAAGGTAATGGAGCAGTTTACTGCCATCAGCTCTTACAGTGTGCTATTCCAGACCCTCAAACATGCCTGGAAGTCTCCAGTCATTTACCTAGACCTGTGTTTCGGGAATGATGGAAATTAGGCAGATCACTCTGTAATGTAGCCACCCTCCAGTAGGAGCTGTCATGTCTTGGATGCTTCCTTCAGCAGTGAGGATATCTTTGAAGCACCGTGTAGAATCTTAACTGAGACAGTGATCAAACAGTTCAGCATTGCTTAATGATGTGTCCCTCTTGTCTTCCCCTTCCCCTGTGTAAAATGAAAGCTCATATCAGAGCCCTGAAGATGGCTGAAATGCTTGATTTTCTTTTTTTCTGTGTAGTAAGATCCTTTCCTGCTTTTCTACCATTACACCTGTATCTCTGGGGTGAGGCTGGGCCTAACATGTTAGCCCTCGCGGTATCAAGCTTCCAGCCTGGGTTCTGGCTATAGAAATGCTCTGCCTGTGAAGACTTCCTAAGCTTTCATTGTCTTCCCATGCAGAGTAGGGCCCCTTGGTGTTAGCTGGGTTACTTGGTGTTAGCAAGGTTTACTCCTGAAGTCACTTCCTATTCTCCCTTCTCTTACTGACTTCAGCAGGGTTCTGGGTGTGTCCCTGAGGTTCCTGTGTGAAGATGGTAGTCCCTGCGCTTCGAGACTTGCACCAGAAAGCCCAGCTTTCCACCCTTACCCAGGCTGTTTTTTTTCCCTGCTGACCTTCTTCCATTTATTTCCTTCCCTTTTCCTCCCTTGGATTGGCCAGGGATCTTTACTGTTTTTTTTTTTTTTTTTTTTTGTTTTTTTGTTTTTTGTTTTTTTTTTTTGTAGGCCAGTTCTGTGAGGCCAGCTTCAGTTAATGTAGAATAATTGAGCCAGTGTTTCATGTGGGGTGTATGTAGGGAAGAATGGTGAAGTGGGGCGGTAATAGTGTCAGAAAGGAAAGAGGAGGGCTCTTTGGGCTGGGTAGCGGGAGGGATAAAGAGCAGCCTTGTGGGTACAGCTGTAAAGTAGGCATAGATAGGATCGTGCCTGCCTGCCTGCCTTGCACCTGTGCTAGTGAACTGCTGTTGATGATTTCAGTGCTTTAAGTCTAGTCCTAGGGAGTGAAACTACTGTAATGAATTTTGTTTTTCCTTCTTTTTGGCAGAATAACCAAGTGCTGGGAATTGGGAGTGGTTCTACAATTGTCCATGCTGTGCAGCGAATAGGTATGTTCTCAAACTGTTTGCTGGATGTTTCTTGTGTGTTCTGGGATAGGAGGTGGAGGAACGGGAGGGAGTGGGCAAAGGTTTGGCGCTTGTCTTAGCTCCCACCCAGCCCAGCTTTGCAGAGCTGGGTAGAGTGGGCTGCTCACCTCAGGTTAGTTGAGTGTTTTTGTTGTTCTTAGTAAAGAGAGATCCTTGACCTCTTCAGCTGACGTTAGGAGAGCCTGCCTATGTTCACTGTGTTTGGCCAGAGGGGAGGGATTGACGTAGGTGAGGCCTTAGCAGAATTTGGTACACACCCATCAGGGTTCCTGTATGTGGTCTCAGGTTTCCTCTGAAGCCTGTGTGTTTTCTTAGGCAAACAAATTGAGGTCACAGTGTCTATGACCCAAGCAAGGATGAGGCTCCTGTAGTTGGTGGCTGGTTTTGTAGGTGTTGACTTCACTCTGATTGGGTCCTGTCTGTGCTTAGGAGAGGCTGAGACATTATCAGCTTCCATGGCTGCTCAACAGGTTCTACTGGCCTGTTCTTTGTTGGTAAAAACAAAGCCTGGAAGAGGCTTGCCCAACCTTCCCATCTTCCACAGGTGCCAAGGGTCAGAGCCCAGGAGACAAAGCAAACCCTGGTTCCTGTTGTGATCAGGAAGTGGCTATATTCTGGAGGTGATGACTGATTGGAGATTTAGTGACCAGTACATCTACTTTAACCCTGTGTATGGAGAATTTTATGGCACAGGAATTACTGTGGATTCAAGGAGTGACAGACATCTCAGCCTCCCAAGAGACAGACTTGATTAAAAAGACTTGGCATTTTAAGAATAAAAAAATTTTAAAGACTCATTAAATTAAGATTTCCTGAAAATTTAAAATGAACAAACAGATTTAAAATTAATAGGTACCTTTCCCAATCTTTAATCATCCTCTGGGGCCTATAGATCTTTATATCTTATTAAATGCAGATTGAAGTTCTGATATTTTCCTGGAAAAGGCAAGGTAGGATTGTAGTTTAGATCGAAAAGTAGGCCACCAACCACACCTTTAATCCTAGCATTGGGGAAGCAGGGGCAAGCAGATCTCTGAGTTAAAAAGGCCAGCCTGCTCTACAGAGTTCAAGACAGCTAGGGTCACACAGAAACCCTGTCTTGAAAATCCCCCCGCCTAGCTCTCCCCCAAAAGAAAAAGGAAGAGAATGAAAGATCACTAAGGACCACATTCCAGCCACTGGTTAGCTGTGTGACTACCAAGGTAATTTACTTCTCAGTGACTCAGTTTCCTCATGTGTAAAGTAGGGGTGATAGTTAGAACTTTTGTCTTGGGCTGCCAGGACTTAAAATAAAAGGCGGATGCATATACAACTGTTCTCAGATTGCAGACACATAGCCCAGTGGCCAGTGCTTGTCTCCCAGGCTCTCTAGTGTCCCTGCCTGCCCAAGTATGGAGTGAGGTCCCTAGCGTTTCCATCAAAGATGGTAACAGTCAGCTGTGAGTGGGGGATGGGCCTTTCCCCTTTGGCTGGATTTGGGAATCACACAGGTGACAAGAAAAGTCAAGTGTGGGAATGAAACACTACCAGTGTGACTCTGTCTCCACAGCTGAAAGAGTGAAGCAGGAGAACCTCAGCCTCATCTGCATCCCCACATCCTTCCAGGTACGCCATGGCCCGTGTTCCTTCTGTGTCTTAACTGCCGCTGCCAGGTCTTTGTGTTGTCATCAGGGCGGTTTTCCTTGAAAGAGCCAGGCAGCAGCAAGCCAGCTGACCAAGCTCTTGGGTGGTGTAAGGGTTTGAGATAGGGTCTCAGTATATAGCATTGGCTGACATGGAACTCGTTGTAGAGCAGATTGGCCTTGAACTCATGAAGATCTTCCTGCCTTTGCCTCCTGAATGCTGGGGTTAAAGGCATGGGTCCCCATGCCCATCTGGTCTTTTAACTTTATACATACTCATTGACTTCAAGGCTGTTTCCTCACGCAGAGTACACAGAGACAACTGCGTGGTCTTTAGCCGTGTGGACTATTGCTCTGTTAACAGATGAAGACAAAAGAATTTGTGCAGTTGTAGAAATGCAAGCACAGTGTGTCCTTTGATTTGAAGCACCCGGGGCTGGATGGGGAAAGCTGGAGAGTAGCATGACCAGGGAGATACGGCTGTCTGTTTTCATCTGACTTTGCAGAACTTTGTTAAGAATTTGCCATTGTCCACGATGGCTGTTTCCATTGGGGTTCCCCAGAGAATTGCTGTACAAGTGGATTTATAAGAAAAGAAGTTGAGTATTCCCACAATGGCAGGTGTGAGAGCTGGGAACATTGGCGGCTGCTTAGTCCATGAAACTGGAAACTCTGTTTTCTCTGTTCTTCCCTGACCCCTGTCTTCCCTCCCCATCTCCATTTGATCCTCTCTTCCAGCCCCCCCCCCCAGTCTATCCATGACTATCCTATTTTCTCTTCCTAGGGTGGTCCAATCCACCCCCTGTCTCTTACTCTGCACCTAAACTCTGGTTGTATGGATTATAGTCTGCTTTTCAAAGACTTAAGCATCTGATATTCACTTTTAAGTGAATATCATCCATTTACTTGTGAATTTCATTTTTTTAAAAGCTGAGTAATAAATACTCCATTGTGTAAATGTACATTTTCTTTATCTTTTTATGAATAGAATAGTAATGAACATGGTTAATCCAGCATCTCTGTGGTAGGATAAGCATCCTTGGGTATATGTCCGTGAATGATCTAGCTGGATCTTGGGGTGGGTCATTCCCATCTTTCTGATAAATAGTCACACTCATTTCCATAGTGGCTTGTTGTCGACTTTCTTGGGACTGCCAGCTCCCGAATAATAACTCTTCATTAGTTATGAAAATTTGGCCTTAGCTTAGGCTTGTTCTCAACCAGCTCTTAACACTTACATTAATGTGATTATATTTACCTGTGTGCTGCCATGTGGCTGGTTACCTCTCCTCAGCACAGTAAGCCCAACTTCCTTCACATCTGGAGAATCCCCTTCACCACAGTAAAGGACCTCTCTGTGAAAACAGGTGTTTGGGTGTGGTTTGTGCCTAATCTGGCTCTGAGAGGGAGCCCCACTGTGGGGGGGGTCTCCTTCAAGCCCTCCTGAGTACAAACAGACTGAGAAAGAAATTAGGGAAACGCCTTTTACAATAGCCTCAAATACTATACTGTACCATACCGTGCAATACCATACCCTGGGATACCTCTAACTAAGCAAGTGGAAGCAGGGAAGAAAGTTAAAGTGGCCGCTTTCTGACGCATAAGAGAAAAAGGGAGGTCTGTGTGTGAATGGGCTAGGATGGGGCCATATATATTGACTGGGCATGTCAATTAGGTGAACAAAAGGGGTGGGTCTTTTGATTGCTGGACTTTAATGCTTTGCTAGCTGGACCTTGGAAGTCAGCCTCAGGAGAAAGTGGACCTTGGGGGCTGGCTTCAGGGATGTAATTTAACTTGTTCTTTTTGTTTTTTCTTTGCTGCTTTCTTCCTCTTCCCCCCTCCCCCCATGGATCTTCATGTGGTTTGGGCATCAGGATAATTAATTGCCTTGTGGAATGAATTGGGCACTGTTCTCTATGTTTCTATTTTGTAGAATAATTTGAGAAGTATTGATGTTAATTCTTTGAAAGACTGGTAGGAGAAAAGACTGGTAGAATTCTGTTCTAAAATTAGCATTGGGCTTTTTTTTGTTGTTGCTATTTGGGAGACTTAATTACTGCTTCTGTTTCACTATGGGATGTAGGTCTGTTTAAATTGCCCTGGAATTCTGTTGGTGAGCCTTACCTCTGAGGTTCCTCTTCAAGTTTCTAAATTTTTCATTTCCAGTGTCTTTCAGTTTGTGTTTTCTTTATTGACTATTTTTCCACTTTCATGTTCTTGAACTGTTTATTTTATTCCACAGTTTGTATTTTCAGAGTTATTGAAGGATTTATTCATATCTCTTCAAGGTCCCTGATCATATTTATAGTAGCCATTTTGAAGTTCTTGTCTTGTGTTTCATTCATATTTCAGTTCTTAGCACCTACTGTAGTGAGGTTGCTGGGGAGACATACATACAGTCCTGGCTGTTACTGATTGCATAGGCATCTGGGTTTGGGATGACTGTAACTCTAGGTGTTGATATCTGGTCTTGTCTTTGTTGGGTAAGTATTCTGTTGCTTGGTTCCCATTTCCCTCTCTGGATCTTAGAAGAGTGTGGTGGCTGTGGGTTTCCTGATAGGGAGTGCTTCTGAGTCTGTGCCAGATGTGGCTCTGGGGATCCCAGATGGAACTTATTCATAGTATTGTGAGCTGACATGCAGGACTGGGGATGAGGTAAAACAAATAAATAAAAGACTCAGAGACAGATATTGGGGTTCAAGCTGAAGATCAGGGAAGCAAAGCTGCCGGCCACTAGCCCTCACCTCTAGCTCTGGCTGAAAGGGCCGATACACACATGTGCTCTTCACCAAGTCTCAAACTGCTGCCCTTCTCAGCCTGGCTGGAGAAGGAATGCCCAGTCCTTGTTTTTTTGAGACATGGTATCCTTATTTTAGCTGAGGCTACATTTGAATTGGCTGTGTGTCTGAGACTCCCAGATGTATTGTTAGAAATGTTAGGAGCACCCTGACATTGTTTCCCAAACCAGGGAGGGGAAGCTCTTAGCTCACCTCTGGAACTGTCTACCCTGTGTGCTACAGTCCCAGAAACTAGCAGTCAGCATTGCTTTTTGTGGGCCAGGGCTCCCACCTGTTGGTAGGTGTGTTGAGGATATGAGAGAACCTAGGTCAATCTTTAAGGTTTGGAACATCAAAAGAATTCTGCAGACCCTTGCCATAATTTCAGAGTAAATGATTGTGGTTGATTTTTCTTGCCCTCTCCAGGCCAGACAGCTTATCTTGCAGTATGGCTTAACCCTCAGCGACCTGGATCAACACCCGGAGGTAAGGCAGGGAGAGGAGAGTGAGGACTGTATCTTTTTCTCCTTTTTTTTGGTGATGGTCTCTAGTTGTTCCTGGGCTCCAGATATCTTGGCAGGCCCAGGAAACATTAGTCAATTAGTCAATTCTGACCAAAATCACAAGCAGAGAGGTCATTAATTTCCAGTGTAGGCATAGTACAAGTTAGCATCCCTGAGATGTAGCCTCTAGGTCTCAGCACAGGTATAGTAAAGGGGATGTGGACAGCCTCAGGGCTGGGCCATAGTCTCCTGAAAGTTCCTTCTTGTAAGTGAGCCGACCTGCATAGCAGAGGGAAGAAGTCATTATCTGAGGCAGCTGTGGCCATTTGAAAACTAGTGTCTGTGGAACATGCTGTTAAAGTCAGGTGTTGTCACCCAGAAGAGATTAAAGCTGAGCGTGAACAGCAACCCTGTTACCCAGTCCACCTGAGCTGTCAGGGTTATAGGGCGAATTTAATCTGGACAGTGGGCACTCTGGCCATCCCAGTGGATGGGTGTGGAAAGGGTTGTTTGTCATTTGCTTAAGTGGCAGAAGCAGAATCGTAACGTGTACACTTCAGGCTCTAGAGCAGTGTTGTAGCAAGAGACTTTAGTTTTTGCTTAGCTGCAGAGACACCATGGCAGGCCAAGAGAGGATCATTGGAGGGGAAGATAATAGCTGTGGGTTTGTGGGTGATTTGGACATAGTGGGGCAGGCATGGGGTGGGCATTTGACAGGGTCTAGCAGTCCATGCCATGGAGTACATGGTAAACATTGGGAAGGACCTCCTGAGAGATTTCTGTGGGCAAAGAAATTATTTCAGGATTGTATCAAATGTTTGTCATCAGAGATAGATGTCTTAATATTCTTGTCCATTTGATAATGCCTGTGTCTGTCCATGTTAGTGATATCTTTGGATCAGTTTTACTCTGCCCTGCCCTGCCCTTTTCATTACTGATCTTTCTTGTCCCCTTGGAATTTAATGCTCCAGTCCTGCTGTATATCTGTGTATGGGCCTTTAGAGGGCTCCACCCTACAACATCATCTTAAATGTTTGCCCTTGCCTGCCACCCCTAGAGTCAGTGTTTTAGCTCCTTTGGGAATGCATGCTAACAACTCCACTTTGTTCATGGAGAGCAAAGGAAGCAAATGTGGGGGCAAGAGCTGGACAGTGTATGCCTTACTTAGGCCCTCAGTTCCTTTTTCTTGTGACCCCTGCAAAGCACCTTTTAGTCTCTTTGGGTGGTTGAGTGGAAATAGTGGGCCCAGCCAATAGGCTGCCAAGAACCTGATGAGCTGTCACTGCTTGGTTTGGCACAGTAGCTCAGCTCCTTCCCTCCTCACAGATTGACCTTGCCATCGATGGTGCTGATGAAGTGGATGCTGAGCTCAATCTCATTAAGGGCGGTGGGTGAGTATTGTGGGACTCGGTTGCTAAAGAGACTCTCAACTACTCCTTAGCAAAGCAGGAATGGGTTGTCCTGGGTACCCGTGAGTTTGTCTTCCTATTAGCACATTGATTCCATGTGCCTTTGAGCCAGCCTGGTGTTTCTGATCATTCTTGGGTTAGAGGGTTAGGTCTGTGGCTTTGTGTTAAAACTCTGAAGTCTGTGATCATTTGGGAAACTCTTCCTTTATTTGGAAACACCAGAATGACACAGTGTTCATGGGTTTTTATGTTATGTAATCCTGGCTGCAGGTATGAAGTAATTACCTGGAGAGACAGGGTCTGGGCAGTGTGCTGTCACATAGTTCTCAGGACATGTCTAGAGATGTCTCCCTAACACAGTGCCTCTCGGACCTCTCTCAGAGGGGACGTGCTTGGCCTGAATGGAACCATTGTCCACTTCCTAGGTTTCTGTTGGACACAGGCTAATGGTTCTGTATTCCATTTACTAGAAAGCAGCAGCACTCTCTTTCAGTGTCAGGATTGAGCACGTTTGGGGTTCCTGTGTCTGACCCTAGTCCCTAAATTAAGATGATCTCACGCTAATGTCCCCTTTCCTCTTCTCCTGTCAGAGGCTGCCTGACTCAGGAGAAGATTGTGGCTGGTTATGCCAGTCGCTTCATTGTCATCGCTGATTTCAGGTACTGGTCAGTTCTGTGTTCCAGCTGAGAAGGTTTATGGGTTCCCAAGTCTTCCCCATGTACAGAGAAGGAACTTGTAGAATAATACAGAAAGGACTGACTGCCTGCATGCCAGGAGTCTGGGCAGTCTGCTGATCATCGCCACACTCTTGCATGGACCTCATGTTTGGGGATGGGGAGGAAACTGTTAGCCTGTGGGCATGTGTTTTCAGAGGGAACCTCAGGAAGCAGGACAGGCCCTGTCCACAGGCAGTGACTCAGCACTTCCCCTCTCCTCTGGGGTCAGGCTAAGCCACACGTGACTGTGCTGTGCTCTGCTCAGACTGTCATCTGATTTTTTTTTTCCCCAAGTAGCCTGAGGGGCCCTTGTGCTGAGCATGCTAGAAGAGATGCCTGCATAAGAATTTACTCAAGAAATACTATAGCTGCAAGGAAAGCCTAGGCTAGTCAACAAGCCAGCAGAGCAGGTTTTAACGTTTTTGCCACATTATCCAAGCTTTTCTTTAGTAGAAAGCAGCCCATACTTCTGAAGTGCCCTGTACTTCCTGATCCCTTTCCCTCCTGCTGTCTACTTAGCACCTTGCCTGAATATTTGCTTGTACGTTGAACTTACTTAAATTGATTGGCATTCTTTCCAGGAAAGATTCAAAGAATCTTGGAGACCGGTGGCACAAGGGCATCCCTATTGAGGTCATCCCAATGGCCTATGTCCCAGTGAGCCGAGCTGTGACTCGGAAGTTTGGGGGCGAGGTGGAACTTCGAATGGCTGTCAACAAGGCAGTAAGTGGTCATCGGGGGCTTCCTAACACCCTGGCTCAGTGTGCTTCTGTCCTGCTTCCTGTGGTAGATAGGCCCCTGAAACCTCTGTGTGTGTGTGTGTGTGTGTGTGTGTGTGTGTGTGTCTGTCTGTGTCTGTCTGTCTGTCTGACCGTATAGAGGGGTCATGCTTCCCTGACGTTCCTGGGGGATACCAAGCCTGAACTGCCCAGTGAGCAGCCTCCAAACACTGTCTTTTGGAAGCTCTATGGGGCAGAAAGTTTTTCAGATTCCCTGGTGTGATATTTTCCTCTTTCAGCCCTTTTGAGGCTATCCCTGTAAGAGTACAACTCTCAAAGAGCATAGTGATAGTTTAGAGCCAAATATGAGTAACGAAATACAGATTTAGGTTACCCCAAATTCTGCATTCCAGTGAGGTAACAGTTTTAAATTTGTACAGAGACAAAACAAAAAAGGTCACAAATGACACTTTTCAAATACATTGGAAACACTAGGTAGGCAGGTCACAGAAAAATGGGGAAATCTTAGCTCTGGGCCTCAGCTGTCTGATAGTATCCTTTTGTTTTGTTTTATTTATTTATTTTTGAGACAGGGTTTCTCTGTGTATCTCTGGTTGTCCTGGAACTCACTCTGTAGACCAGACTGGACTCAAATTCTCACTGAGATCCACCCCTGCCTCCTGAGCGCTGGGATTAAAGGCTTGGGCCTTTACAACCCTGACTCTGGTAGCATTCTTATTTTGGCTGATGGGAAATTATGGGTGGGTGTGTCTACATTTCAAAGGGTCTGTTTACCTTACAAAAGGTGTAGATGGTTCAAGATAACCTGCCTCTGGATGAGTGACAGTCTAGACTCCACACGCCCTTCCATGACGCTCCAGTTGGTTAATGTCCTGCAGAAGCCTGGAGGGAGATGCTGATCTTTCCAGGAACTTTCTGCTCAAGGCAGCACCACACCTTTCTTTGTTTTTTTCTTCTGCAGTGTTAGGAATAAGGCCCAGGGCTTGTTGAAATAAGAGGCAAGGACTCTAGCCCTGAGCTATTGCATTCTCCTTCTATCCTAAATGTAGGAAGTAGACTTTGTTTGGGTGGGAGGAGAACACAGCACCCCAGTAGAGATGTTTCTCTTAAGTTTCTACTGTGGGTTGCAAAGAACTTTTTTCATTTACGTAAATAGCCGAAAGTAATGAACCAAACTGAAGTGTATGTAGCTGTGAGGAAAAAAATTGGTCACTAACTGTGTCCTGCCATGCTTTCTTGACTTTATTGAAAAGGAGCTTTAGGAACTGGGTACATGGTGCCTCACAGAGGCCTTAGCCCTCTCCCTTTGCAGGTTTGTTTGATGAGAGGGTCCTACATAGTTAAGGCTTCTTTGAACTTGCTGTGTAGTTGGGGTTGACTTTGAACCTGTGATCCTCCTGCCTCTGCCTAACCAAGGACTGGGATTATAGACATAAGCCACCACACCTGGTTTACCTTTGTATAGTTTTAAGTGGACTCCACTCCAGGCTGCTGAGGAGTCTTACTTGCCTATGTCAACATTTTATTGCTGAACAATCCTATTCTCTAGTGTTCAGTGGTGTTGAGGACTTCAGGATTCACAGCTAAAACTTTCCATCCCCTTACCTGTTTGACTGTCCCATCTTTTTTTTTTTTTTTTTTTTTTTTTTTGAGACGATTTTTCTATGTAGCCCTGGCTATCCTGGAACTCACTCTGTAGAGAAGTCTCTGTAGAGAGATCTCAAACACAAAGATCCAACTGTCTCTGCCTGCTGAGGGCTGGGATTACACACAGGCAATTGTCACCACTACCCAGATGCTCTGTCCTTTAAATGAGACATTGATGGGGAGGATGTGATGTGAAGTTGGTACAGCCTTCTCTCTGTTGAGCTCTTACTATTTGCACCTCTGTCCCCCCTTTTGCTGCTTAAGAAACAGATGGCTCCTCTTAATTCTGTACCTGTGTGGCATTCACCTTAAATCCAAGTCTCCAGACTCAAAGCACACGCTCACTGCTTGCTGCTTTACACCACCTTCTAGGAAGCACAGAGCGGGCTCAGAGCCCATCAGTTAGGACCCCTGTCTAATTGTCCTCTTTCCTTTGCCTACCATGGTTTCATCCTTGGTCACTGTGGAAAATTATCTCGTAGGGGCCTGTGGTGACGGATAATGGAAATTTTATCCTGGACTGGAAGTTTGACCGAGTACACAAGTGGAGTGAAGTGAACACAGCTATCAAAATGACTCCAGGTAATCTGAGTGGTATTCACTGGGCATAGTCTCCATCCTTTCATAACTACCTGCTCTTCTGGCCACAGAAAGCATGATGGACATGTGCTTTGTGGCACTTAGTTTTGTTAAACTTTAATCATCTCCTCTTTCTTGGCTTACGTAATAATAATGCTAATGTGTATATATTTTAGTCTGAATTGGAATAGCCCTGGAGCTTGCTTTGAAATAAGGTCACCATCTTTGGGAGAGATCCCTCTTCTCTTTTCTAGAAGTTTAATTGCAGCCTCTTTGATCTTTTTTAGGGAAAAGCAACCCACAGGCTTACCCATATGTGACCCATATGGTTACATATGATAGGCAAGGTGCTATGCTTGTATAATAATACATGGAATTGGTTCTAGATTAAAGCTGATGTAAACCTGGGGAAGGCTGTGTGAAGCCATGCCTGCAAATACTGAAAGTGATGATTCTGTTGGAGAAGTAGCAGAAGTTTAGTTCACAGAGAATCCTCTGTTTGAAAGGTATGGGGCAATTTCATAGAAGTGATGTTGATCTGGGTATTAGCAGCACATTATCTAGTCACTGCTTAGAGTTCTAAACAGTTTATTTGGATTCTCACTTGGATGATGTGGTTACAGGAGACAACATGGTCCGGAAGTAAGCTAAGTGATTTGTCTGTCTCTTGACCTTGAACTTTTAACAGTGGTGTTACTTTTATTTAATATGTGTGTTCGAGTATGTGCAGTCTGATGCAGGTGTCTATGGAAACCAGAAGAGAGCATTTGTTCTCCTGGAGCTGGACTTAGAGGTAGTTGTGTGCTTTCTGACACAACATGGGTTCTGGGAATTGAACTTGTGTCCTCTACAGGAGCAGTATTCTCTCTTAAGCACTGAGCCATCTCTCCAGCCCTTAGACACTGAACTTGAATGCTCACTTGCTAAATGCCATGCTGAAGTGAGGCCAAATGTGTAAGCATAGACTTATGCCAAGGGATGGTTAAGTAGGAATTGAGGATCTACTTGGATGAAGATTGGGGGAGCTGGGTAGAGATGAATTGGAGCCCAGGCTTAAGAAATCTGGAGGATCAGAGCTTGTAGGAGGCTTTTAAAGGAGATGATCTGAAAGGCATCATTCTTGCAATGTTGAGGAACAGTCTCAATCTTACGTGGGTAGTGAGTTTATCACAGTACAGTGGCTGCTGGGGGAAGACTACCTGGATAAAGATTGCACCTGAGCTTTAGCAGTATGGACTTGGAGCCCCTAGCTGACTGCTGCTGTATGCCTCAGTTTCTCTTCTGTAAAAGTGCCAATACCTACCTCATAAGGGTTAGTGTGAGGATTAAATGAGTTATAACGATGACCACTTAAAACAAATGTGGATGAATAAAGGCCTAGGGAGAAAGGCTACACTGCTGTCATCATTAATTAACTACTACATTAATGCGCCTGTAATCCTGGTGCTTGGGAGGTGGAGGCAGGATGATCAGTAGGTCAGGGACTTCCTTGGCTACATAATGGATTTGAGGCCAGCTATGTGAGTCCTTGTTTCAAGAGAGAGTCCTGGCTGCCCTGCCACTCTGTAGACCAGCTGGCCTCCAACTCAGAGATCCGCCAGCCTGCCTCTGCCTTCCTAGCGCTGGGAGGAAAGGCGTGCGCCACTGCCATCCCTCACACCTTTCCCCTTTTTGTTAGATTTTAAGTTATTTGTGCTAGCTGGGAATGAAGCCAGTGTGACTGAGCTCCTTCCAAGTCCAGACTCTCAGTCTTTTCCTCATTCATTAAGTAAAACATGAATTACTCTGTTACCTTAGTGTTCCCTCTCCAAAAGGCCTGGAAGGCAGGAGGAGCTAGAGGATGGGCGGGTCATGCCTGATGATCAGACTGGCCCAGGGTAGAGTGCAAAGTCGGTTCCTCCTGTGCCCACCAGGGAGCTCTCTTGCTCTTCCTCAGGCCTTTCTTGGCCTTTGTGACTTTGAAGTGTTGGATGTGAGGAAGTTTTGTCTGCATTGCATGAAGAATCTATGTCTGGAGACTTCAGGGTTCCACCGAGAGTGTGAGGAAGATGGCGTGCTACCACAGGCCCATCCGTGGTTTGTCGTTGGCTTTCCTCTTCCTGCTTGCTGTTGGGAAACACCCAGGAAAGAGGGATGGGGCAAGCTTTCCTGCTTATTCCCAGATGCATTTGCACAAGCGAGACACTCAGCAAACAGCCTCTCAGTGTGCTTCATTGGGTCTTTGCTTGAGTTTTTTTTGGGGGAGGGGTCAGTCAGTTCTAGCACTTTGTTGATCCGAGGCTCCAGAATCTGCCCTGATACTTGTCCGTGGCCTTTGAAGTGGTCAGAGCGAGTGTGGAGCACGGAGGAACACTGCTTCGTTCATTCTCAGAAAGCTCTAGTTGTGCAGGCAGTTTGTGCTAGGACCTTCATCCTTTAGTCACTCAATTCCCTTCTGCTTGTGTATTGAGGGCTGTCTACAGATGCTTTAATTTTACTTTATCCTTTGGAAATTACCTTATTCTAAGCGATGAGTGAACAGTGGCAAATGTTACTAAAAGAATTGTATGGCCTTTTCTGAGACAATCTTCCTCAAAAACACAAGTTGAAACTCCCATTGACCCGAGTAATGGCACACGGTGCTCAGGTGTGTTCTGTGTTCTCATTACACAGTGACTCACAAAAGACTGACTTTACTTAAAAACAAACGATGGTGATATTCCAGTTTTGTGGTGAAGTAACATAATTTCCATAACTAGATCCCTGCTAGTGGTCATTTGCATCTCTAGTCTTGTGCTAGCATGGAAGTACCATATCAAAGGATTGGTCTCATTTTACAAAATGACATTAAACTCTTCCCCACATTAACATACCAGTTTACCAGTACAGGGAACCAGTGCAGGTCCCTGTTTCCCTACACGAGGTTCAGTACCCTTTGATAGTTGGCCAGTGTTATTTCACTGTAGGATATGTGTGTTTGTAAACATTTTTGATGAAGGCCATATATAGTTAATTCTCATTGCTGAGTAGTATTCCACTGTTAGTATGCCTGCGCAAACAAGTATGTTGATATATTCATGCTACTGTGTGCATGTGTGGTGCACTTGAGCACATGCTGCATAGATATGCGTGTGTGCATCCATGTGCAGAAGCCAGAGGGCGATGTTGTGTGTCCTGTCTCTTCGAGTTGAGTCAGGTCTCTCACGGAGCCTTGGGCTGTGGACGGTGGCCAGCAAGCCTCAGCAATGCTCCTGTCTATGCCTTCACAGTCTGGCCTGTCACTAGAGAGCTTGAATGCCCTTTGCAACGCTGGCTTTTTGTGATTGCTTTTTAAAGACCCGTTTGATAGTCACTTTCCTTTTGGTTTGTCTTTTCCTTAGTGGCGTGTATTCTGATGTGACTCCTTGACTGAAGATGCCTGGGGGAGGGGTCTACATAGCATAGTGGGAGGATGAGGAGGAGCAGCTAACCTTGACTCTGTTAAGGATGAGCAGAGGCACACAGAGCAAGCCGTGAGGTAGTGGGAGGAAGAGGTGCCAGGAAGGAGCAGAGATAACCCCAGTCTTTCAGTTGCTGGGAGAGAGCAAGGCTTAGTTGTGTGTTTTGTCTGGTGCTGTTTATGTTTGCTCCCTGAGACCCTGGATGGCGGTGTGGTGTCTGGAAGCTGGACCTTAATCTCCTATTCTTCATTCTGCAGGTGTGGTGGACACTGGCCTGTTCATCAACATGGCAGAGAGAGTCTACTTTGGGATGCAGGATGGCTCAGTGAACGTGAGGGAGAAGCCCTTCTGATCCTTCGAGGAGCAGGGTGCTCACCTTGAGTCTCCAGGCCAGGCACAGTGGACATGCCTCTCCAGGAGCCTTTGCCTTAATGAACCTTAATGTAGCTGTCCACAGTGCCAGAGTGGATGGCTGGCCACGGGTGGGTGGGTGAGGGGGTAGTCAAATCCAGTCCTATGAAGTATTGCTATGTGTCTTTTTAAAAAGAAATTTAAATATATATATTTTTACTATTAAAATATTCAGTTGTTTTTTATAAAATAAAACTTGATTTTATGTTTTATATGAAACATTTACCAAAAACAAAAAAATGTATAAAAACAGGAGGTCAGGACTGTCTGTGAATGCTTTGACTCGACCTGTTGGTTAAGTTTCTGAGGTTTTGGATTTGCTGAGGAATAACAACATGGCATTTCCTTAAGCCAGCCAGCAGTGTCTCCTGATGCCTTATGGGAACCCTTGTTTACTTTCCTGCCATGCTCTGTTCCGCTTAGGTTGTTTTCAGGGTACCACTCGCAAATCCTGATTACATGTTTAAGATCAGGGTCACAGGGGCCTGAGTGGGGCAGTAGGGCTTGTAGTGACTTGGGGATAAACTCCCAGGTAGATGCACCTTCCCTGGGACCCTGGCTGTGCTTGGGTCCTGCTGTTGGAGGCACGCGGTGGGGAGCTATTGCCTGCTGGCAGAGCACAGCGATGTGAGATGTGAAGCACTTAATTTTTGTTGTTGAATGATTTTCTTTATGTTAATATTGTTTGGTTCTCTAATAATACTTGTATGATCTGGCATCAGAAGCTGTCACTTCTTTGTGCTGTTCGAAGGTTGAAATAAACATTGTTGTGCCACTTTGACCTTTGTCTTGACTATAGACTTTTGCACTGCAATGGGAACCAAGTTTGCTCACCTAGGTTGGGGTCCATTTGGGAATCTGAGATAGGCCAGGCAATGTGTCCGTCGTTTCCGACAGATTATCATCTCCTTTACTGAAAAAGAACCGGTGAGCTGCAGAGGCCTTTGCTGCAGGTGTTGGACTTTTGTGCCTGAGTGAGGGCAGCATAGTTGAGCACCTTTGTTCATGTTCAGCCGCTCTGTTCTACCTTCCATCACAGAAGTAAAGGGGACTGGACTTTTCGTTTCCCTTAGTCTAGTGTTCAGATAAACAGTCTAGTAAGCAGCAGATAACCCAGAAAAAGCTTCATAGAGTAGGGTAGGCCGTGACCAGCTCAGCACTAGTTCCAGAAGGGCCTCATAGGTCTATTCTGTTAGCCATCATGCTAACACTGCAGTTGTCTCCAGTTTAACCTCTGCTTTGAAGCTGGAACTCTGTTACATGTGTTGACACCCAAATTCCTCCTGAATCAAGTCTCACAATACAATTTAACCGAGACTGAGCCTTCAACAGGCATTTTCCAGCCCGGTGTGGTGGTATGCACCTTTAATCCCAGCAGAGGCAGGTGGATCTAGCCTGGTCTACTGAGTGAGTTCTGGGATAGCCAGGGCCACACAGGGAAACCATGTCTCAACAAAGAAGGCATTTCCCTCCTTGCTGAAGTCTTTTTCCACGGTGAAAGGACTCTTAAAGGTTGTTGCCTCAGGTGCTGTTACGAAGGTCAGCGTTAGGACTGTGTTTTAGTTGGCTTGTCAATAACCTTTGTGCAGAATGAGCTGAAATTTGATAGAACAAACCAGTTTGTGTGCTGTGGATTTAACTCATGGATAGAGATAATAAACAAGATTAACTGGGTTTCAGAAACACCTGTTTGCTCCATGTCGCATGTAAATTTCCTCTTGGCTTCACAGGCTTTGGCACATGTGACCAGACTAGGGTTTTTGAATGTTAATGTGAGGTTTTTCCTTCTCTTAGAGAAAAACAACACCTGGTAGGCACGATAGGGCAATTTAGAGGTAAACTTTGATGAAAGATTCAATTAAAATGTAAACATTTCCACTGAATTATTAAATGTGACCTTGCAAGTGATGCACCCAAGAAGTCTGTGCTCTATCTCAGGCATGTAGGGCACATTGGAGTTTGGATTAAAAATAGATATCATATAACAACGCATATTTAAGCTTGCTTCATGTAGTCAGACATGGTGACACGTGCCTTTAATCCCAGACCTTGGGAGGCAGCGGCAGGTGGATCACTGTGAGTTTTAACCCAGCTTGGTCTGTATAATGAGTTCCAGGACAGCCAGAGCTACATAGATCCTGTCAAAAAACAACACAAAATGATATTTGTGTTTGTGTGTTTCTGTGAGGATTGTGGGTTCCCCCAGAGGTGAGAGGAGGGTTTTGGAAACTGAGGCCTGGAGTGACAGGTGACTGCGAGCTGCCTGATGTGGTGTGGGCAATGGAATTTGGGTCCTCTGCAATTGCAGAACAGTGCATACTCGCTAACCCGGGTCATCCCCAGGCCCTGAGTCTGGCTTCTGGGAAGGTTTGTAATCAAGGCAGGCTGCCACCTTTCTGGGAGGCATATGAGGAAAATTGTGGGGATTTGGGTAGAATTGACTCAGTTTTGGCTTCAACTAGAACTCAAAGTGAGGAAGGAAAGCAAGGATTTTTGCTTTGAACTTGCCCGGAACACTCTACGGGAACTTTGACCCGTCATTCTGCAACATCTTTGAGTGTACCTACATTTTCAGAGTGAGAATGTGAGGCTCTGTTTAAGTACCTGGTTCAGATCAAGCCCTGGAAAGCTGAGCAGACTTCTGTCTGCTATTCATGCTTGTACTTCCGGGTTGTTGTAGTTGTAATGATATATAAGAAGGTTTTTAAAGACCTGAAGTTAGTGAATGGTTCTGTGCACATATGTGTGCTTATGTAAGTTCATGGCTAATTCTGTTTATTTCTGTAGTATTGAGTTTTCTTTCAAAGAAAGGGGATAGAACATTGCATGTCACCTCTTTGGAGAGTGCCACTTGTCTAATCTGTCACAGAAGGGACACATAGCAGCCACCGTTTCTCCCCATCTCCTCTGTGCTCCTCCCTGATGAGTTCTCTGTATGAAATGGGGCATTGGCCATGGTAGGCATGGCCAGGAAAAGTCGATGTGAGTTTCTTTCAACCGTGGTCAAGTCATCGACCCATTCATTTCGTGCAGGGAAGCTTGCTGTGGGTAGCTTTGGGGATGTCTTGGTCTTAAATCTCAGAGGGTCTGTGTGTGCTTACAGTTAGTAAAGATGGAGGCTTTCTCTGGGACCAAGTGCTGGTAGACAGCAGGAGTGATCTTGGGGCAGGCATCTTAACATTTTTCCCTACATGAGAAGAAGAGCTGTGGGCCTTGTAGAGCAGCCATGATCAGCCAGGATCAGGCTGTCTGGTCCTTTTTGTGATTTTGGTGGTGGTACTGTTTTACCTGGGTTCACATATGATCATGGAGGGGTCTTGCTTTTCTTGACATGAACAAAGAGTGGCCTTGCCTAATGGCCACTGGAATTGTTGATGCTTACCAAAAGGGCTCCTGGGCTTAGGAGTGGGTGCCAGGCTGGCTGGTCGCCATCCCAAGGCCTGACTCAAGCCAGACCAGCTGTGCTAGCTCAGGCAGCATTCCTTTTTCTTGAGATCAGAGGGCCTGAGCCTTGGGTTAGCAATTCTTCACACCTGTGAGTAACTGGAGCGCAAGCTTGCCATGAACTGGGCACTGGTGCGGATGGATGACTTGGGGTCCCAGATACGTTATAGCTTCAGCCTCAGACTTCACTGGGACCACGGCAGTTTCTTCCACCCTGAGATGCCAGACTGCTTCCTTCCTGTCACACGTTGCAGCTGATGCAGCCAGATTTAGGATTGCATCAGCCCTCACGCCACTAACCTAGTAATCAGACGATGTTTTGAAAGGTTCAGTGTCATTGTGTTTTTTTTTTTTTTTTTTTTTTTTTTTTTTTTTTTGTAACTGGGCTGAATCACAGAATTGCAAAACACTCCAGGATAGCTTAGCAATGAATTGGACACAAGTGGGTCTGTCTCAGCTGGTAAACATGCAGCCATGCTGTGAGAGATGAAACGATCATTAGCTGCGCTTGGGTGGAGGCATAGCCCAGGGAAGGAAGGACAGCTCTTCCTTGCAGCAGTGACTCCATCGTTTCCTGGACAGGGTGTTATATGCAGGTTGATGAGTACAACAGATTCAGGTTGAATCCCCCTTCTGTTTTGCTGGGTCACTTGGAACTTTGGCTCAGCAGTAAGGTGGGAGAGGAAGTAGCTGTCTCAGGGAATTGGATTCCTGGCTGGTGGCATCTCTTGTCAGGCACTGGCAGTCAGACTCACAAATGGCCCCCGAAGACAGAACTACCCTCTGAGGGGATGGTTTGGCATCTTGAGTTTCAAAGAGGCGAGTGTGTTAGCCCTCTCTTCAGAAGTTGGTCTGAATGGAGACTGAGGCCAGTCTGCTGTCACTGATGAGTCCTGATGATCCCAAGTTCTGATCTCTGAGTTTAGTAGTTAAGTTTGGCCCATGTTCCTCAGTGCTGAGGATGTACCCCTGCCCCCCCCCCCCCCCCCCGCACCCACCAATGCCTGGCTATAGATGGGTCTTAATGTGGTCAGGTAAATAAACCACTTGGGGGCATTTCACACAGTGTCATTGTGGGACCTACTTTATAGGTGACAAAGAGGAGAGAGCCCATCAATAAGCTGAAGGGACCCAGAGTTTGTCTCAGGCTCCAAGTTATGCACTTGGTGAGAGCAAGAGTCGAGGCTACTGGAAAATTCCCCCCTCCACTCTTTAAACTTGCCAGGGCCTCTGTCGGCCCAATATGGTGGGGATGGGGACCAAGGCAGGGGAATGAAACCAGAAGTAGATGGAAAACGACTACTGCGGAGCTTGGTCTCAACTATGTAAAAACGATACCACTAAATGCTGTTAGGGATAGTTGTCTTTGCTAATGGGTCGATAGCTGCCTCTTATTTTCCTGTTTTCTTTGAGAGACATACGATATTATTAACATCAGAGATGGAAGGTTGTGTGAGTGAAATGCCAAATAACGTTTTAAAGAGGTTAATGCCAGTTAAATGATGATATTTTAGATGGATTCAGTGGCCTCAGAGCTTGGTGTACTCCAAGGCAGTGGCCAGGAGGGGGAGCTCCAGCCCAGCACTTCAAGGCATCTTGTCCAGGCTGGGCTGGGATCTTGGGGATAATGTGTGTGTGGCCTTGTCAGTCCCTTTCCTAAAAGCCTATTATTTCTGCCTTCATTTCAGAGCAGTCCTTTCTCTTTGGGAAAGTTGTTGCCATGGTTCCTCAGGAAGCTAAGCTGAACAGCGGAACTCACGGGTTCTTCCTGGTGCCTTTGGGGTGTCTGGCGCATGCTCATTGATGTGCCCATCGACCAGAGAGCCTTACTCTACTGGTTATGCGTGGCCTAAAGGGTCTTGAACTGAGGCGCTTAGGGCTCTTAGCTCTGCATAAAACATGCCCCATAAAACCCGCTGTGGTATTCCCCTAGTAAATCCTTTAGGTCTCTAAGTTTGTTTGCATTTCTAGTGTTTCTCCAACATTTGACTCTAGGATAACATCCGGGGCCAGTTAACCAGCAAACCTGCAAGTGTAGTTAGTTATGCTGTGAAGTGGTCAGAGGGCATTTTCTCTCCGCGAAGATGTGTTATTTTGAGTATTTGGTATGTCAGTTCACTGCCAAGCCCTTGGATTTTTTTTTTTTTTTTTTCCTCTTAAGCGCAAGAAGCCACCGATAGCCGGACATGCTGGCTGAGTCGGGGTGCAATTCTGCCTACCTGATGCCCCTCACCCCCACAAGCATTTCGGGCTTGTGGGTTTCCCATGGACATCTACTGACAGGTCATCACGGGTCAGAGGAGGTTGTTTTAGGGAACATGAAAGTTTTCCTAGGGG